GCTAGCCCACGCCCTGCCCCACCCCCTCGCTCTGCCGGTGCCCCTCACTCCCGATCCGCAGCCCCTGCTAGCCCAACTCTGCCGGGTGAGGGGGGGAGGGAGAGTTGAGCAGAGGCTTCCCCAGAGGCTGTGGGTCAGTCACCCCACTTTGCGGCCCAGGGGTAGGGCCCTCCCTCCCCCTTTCCCCTCCCCCACTCGCTACTTCCCCTCCTCTTCCCACCCTGGTGCTGCAATCATGCAGCGCTAATTAGCTCGTTGTAGGGGCTCAGTGGCAATCAGCCAGATCCACCCAGATGGGAGAAAGGCTTCCAGAGCCGGGGAGAGAACCCAGGCGTCCAGGCTCCCAGCCCTCCCTCCCCACTCTAACCCACCAGCCCCCACTCCCCTCCCAGAGCCAGGGGGGGAGAACCCAGGAGTCCTGGCTCCCAGTCCTCCAATTCATGCTCCCTGCCCCATAGCACCCCCTAGCACCGCCCTGGGGCTAGCACCCCCTGCCGAGCCCCCATCACACTGAATTCCCCCCCCACACACACACACACAGCAATTTTGTGACTTACGCTGCCCCACTTTCAAGATGACTTTCATCCCCTTCGACAGGCAGGCGCCGCCCCTCAGGTTCTCCAGCCCCTCCTTGGTGCCATCCGATGTGGCTATGCGGAGAGACAGGAACATCAGAGCGGGGCAGGGGCAGCAGGGGGCGCTCTCCCCTGGCAGGCAGGGCTGGCCCCAGGGCGGCGCTAGGGGGCGCTGTGGGGCAGGGTGGCTCAGCAGGGTCAGTTTGGGGGGGCAGGGTTGCTCTGCGGATGGACGCTATATGTGACGTGTGTGTGTGTGTGTGTGTGTTGGCTGGTGGGGGGTGGGTGTGATCTCCCTGTCACGCCCGCCGTGTACGTGGGGGTCTCTGACCGCGGCGTGTGATGGGTGCGTGTGGGGTGAGGCTGTGTGAGCTCCTTGTAGTTCTGTGGAAGGAGAAATTAGACCCTGGTGCTTATAGTTCAGACACACACACACATACAGACACACACACACACAGAGACGCACACACAGAGACACACACAGGGCTAGATCTCTCTCTCTCACACAGACACACACACGGACACACGGGCCTAGATCTCTCACACACACACACACACACACACACACACAGAGGCCTAGATCACACACACACACACACAGGCCTAGATCTCACACACACACACACGCACACACACACACGGGCCTAGATCTCACACACACGCACACACGGGCCTAGATCTCACGCACACGCACACACACACACACGGGCCTAGATCTCACACACACACACACACACGCACACACGGGCCTAGATCTCACGCACACGCACACACACACACACACACGGGCCTAGATCTCACGTACACACACACACTGTGTTACTAGGTCACTATTGTGCTGCTCTCAGCAATTCGCCTCTCGACCCAACCCGCAGGGACAGCGCAGCCTCCATCCCCCACGGGATCCAGTAGTCCAGGTTCCCAGCCCCCACCCCCACCCCCATTGTCTCCCCAGCTCTGGGAGGGGAGTGGGGACTGGTGGTGAGAGCAGGGGGGCTGGGAGCCCATTGGGAGGTCAGTGCTGAAGACGAGCGGGGGTGGTGGCCCGGACTCCGGGGTCCCCAGGGAGCGGTGTGTGTGTGGT